TTCAGCGCAGTGACAATTCACTGACTGGCTCACGTATTTCCCTTTTAGTCCTCCCTGATGTCCTTGATTTAGGCTTAGGACCTTCCCTTCTTCCTTACCCATGGGAATGGTGTCATCCATACCTTCTGGCTTCCCTTGGGATACCTCTTAGAGAACCTCTTACCCCTTCACCTGGCATTCAACTTAAAGGCCTCAAAACTTTTCACCTCTGCAGTCAAATCTGGCTTCAATAGTCTTTAGGTAATCAATCAAAATGGCTGCCTACCTGAATCGTAGATCCCAATATTACTCAAGACCTTTACAGCTACTGCCAGTGACTGAAGAGATGGAGATTTCCTATGTCCAAGTTTCTTCTACCTCTGCTCCAACCTTCTCTGTTCTTCCTGTTCCCCCACTGAGCTCCCTCTAGCTATGACATCTGAACAAAATGATTCCTCCACTACTTTGGATCCTGCTAATGGGCGCTCCCCCACCTCCCTTAGGGGCTTCAATTCATAGCTCCTTCTCTTTCTCTGGCTCCTTCAGTCTCCTCTACTAACTATCCCACCCTGACACCCACTTTCACTCTACCAGTAGCCTTCACTTTCCCCACTACTGGCTCCTGGTCCACCTGGTCCCAGTTCTTTCTTTGCAGGAAGTTCCCGGGCTGGATGAGAGAGTTAAGTGAACTCTCTCAAATAGGATAAAGAGTGGGTTTTATATCTCTAACTCCTCTACTTTCATTAAAGAATTCCAATACATTACCTAATGCTATGGTCTTACCTCACATGACACACACACACACACACATACACACACACACACACACACACATATGATTCTAACTAAGAGCCTACTGTCAGAGGAACACAGAAGAGTTTGGGAACAGGCTAGAACACACACAGATGAAATCCACCAAACTAACACACCCAGCTGGGGCGGAGGCAATCCCACCAGGATCCTCAATGGAACTACAATACCCCTAGGACTATTCTAGCTAGAGATCAATTTACAACTTGTCTCCTGGTTGGTCTCCATAAGGCTGCCCCTAAACAAGTATACTATGAGAAATTCTAAGAGGTCATTCAGAACAAACATGAACACCTGTCTTTATTCAAGGCCCTGTTACAGTATACCAGTCTAGACCATCAAAACCCGGAGAGAAAACAACTTCTCATGACCTATTTCTTTTCCCAGAGTTTCCCTGACCTTAGGGTCAAGTTTAAATGCTTGGAGAGAGGAACCATAACTTCACAGGCAGAAGTCTTAGCCTTTAAGATGTACCATTAGAGAGAAGGAAAAAAAAAAAAAAACAGTAAAGAAAAATACCAAATGCTGGCCAAGGCTTTTCAGCCAGACTCCCCTGACTCCTAAGGCCCGACTTAGTGGGGTCCCTACTTCAGATGTGGTCAGGGGGTGTCACTGAGACTGGACCTGCATTAACCCTGACAAACTACCTAAGTCATGTCCAAAGTGCCATCAAGAAGGATACTAGGCTATTGACTGTCCCAGTGTCCTCACTGCATGGGGATATCAGACTCGAATCACCTTCAAGCCAACCTCTTAGGCCTGGCCATGGATAACTGAAGGGGCCCAGGTTCTGACAGGGAGCCCTGGGTAGTCATTAGAGTATCTAGGTGATCCATCTCCTTCCTCCTTGGGCCCCTTACTGGCCCTGCTGGAGTTTGGGGGCCCCACCTCTCCTCATTTCCTTATTGTCAGGGTAAGGAGGTCAGACAGCCTTACCAACATCGCCAGACCCCACTGCTCAGTTGCATTTTCAAGGGTGGTTCTCTCACTCCTTCCTTCCTGGCGGTGCCAACCTGTCCCATCCCCTTATTGGCAAGGGATCTTCTCACCAAAGTGGAAGTCTCTGTTTCCTTTGTTCCTCACATTCCCATGACCCCAAGCTCACCAGAAGTCCCTCTTCTCCTTCTCTTAGGCACTCAACCTAGTGGTTCCAACATATTATTTCCTTTGCCAGCTTTCCGTGTCTGGGATACCCAAAACCCCTCTGTTGCCAAACACTATTCCCCTGTCATTAACCAATAACAGGACCCTACACAGTACATTACCCAAGCTCGGTACCCTCTCTCTCTCTAGAGCCTCAGGAGACTATCATCTCTAGCCTCCTAAGAAAAACACTACTTTCCCCTTTGCCATCCTTATATTTGCAGTTAAAAAACCCAATGGGGAAGGGGGTTGGAGAGATGTCTCAGAGGTTAAGAGCGCTGGCTGTTCTTCCAAAGGTCCCGAGTTCAATTCCCAGCAACCACATGGTGGCTCATAACCATCCATAGTAAGATCTGGTGTGCAGGCAGAATGCTGCATAAATAATAAATAAATAAACCTTAAAAAAAAAAGGAATGGGCAGATACACACACACACACACACACACACACACAGAGAGAGAGAGAGAGAGAGAGAGTTGCTACATGTGTATCCTCGCTCTGAGTCCCTCTCTGTCATGAAATAAGATCCTTCACCTCTAAATCAAGGACCCAGGTGGACAATGGGTTCTACCTTTTCTTCAGCCCCCAGTGTACAGTGTACACAATTAAAACACAGAGAAAATATATCCTGACATACTCAACCCCTGGAGATAGAGAAAGAGAGAGGAGGTGACTCAACATTCCTCCAAGGCTGTAACCTCTTTAACATTACCTCTCTTAAACAAGACAGAGCTCCCATTTCCTCTCCTACTTCAGACTTTGACTTCGGCCTTGTAGCTCCTTAATGTCACCCAACCTGGTCACTTCTGGGATGGCTGGCTATGTGTTTCCCTGGGGACTAGCTAGCTCACAACCTCCTTTTACAGCCTCTCTTGTAACCTTGTCAAATAACTTTACCTCCCCATTCACTAAGTGCGCAGCAGTACCACCACTCCCGAGCTTTTTCATCTCACCCTCTTTGGCATGGCAAACTGCTTTAAGGCATCCAGGATACATTTTGTAGGAGTGTTAAGTTTCTTAGACTGCAAG